AAAAAAAAAAAAAAAAAAAAAAAAAAAAAAAAAAAAAAAAATTCCTTAAAAAAATAGCTGTGATCAAAATAAATTCACAAAATAATCAAGATTCCAAAAATTCAGCACAAGAACAGAATATTAAAAGCTGTTAGAGAAAAGAAACAAATCACCTATAAAGGAAAGCCCAACAGAATCACAGCAGACTTCTCAACCTAAACACTTAAGGCAAGGAAAGCCTGGAATGAAGTATTTAGAGCCCTAAAAGAAAACAATCTCCAACTGAGATTAATGTGTGCCACAAAACTATCTTTCAAAATCAATGGAGAAATAAAATGCTTCCATTACAAAGAACAACTGAAGAAATTCGCAACCAACAAGCCAGTGCTGCAGAGTGTCCGGAGAAAAAATTTAGAAAGACATAATGAAAATCACAATTCCAAGAACACCAATAGCAGGAAGCCACCAAAACAGGCAAGCAATTAAACAAGAGAGGAAAGACAGGCAAATAACAGCAGGAAAACAATATGACAAGGATAAGCCAATGCCTATCAGCTATAACTATTAATGTAAATGGTCTCAATTCACCAACCAAAAGAAATAGACTGGCATAATGAATCAAGAAACAAGATCCAACAATATGCTGGATACAAGACACATATTTAACTCAAAAAGAAATTCATACACTGAAAGTCAAAGGATTGAAAATAATGGTCCATGTGACAAGAACTCGGAAAAAAGTAAGGGTAGCTATTTAATTTGCAGGTAGTGTGAATTTCAAGCCAAAACTGATCCAAAGAGACAAAGAAGGTTGCTACATACTTGTTAAAGGAATTCTTCAAGAAGAGGAGAGAACCATTACAAATACATATGCACTGAATATTGGTACACCCAATTATATAAAACAAATATGAATGGACACAAGAAATCTAATAAGCACTAACACAATTATAATGGGGGACCTTAATACCCCACTATCATATATAAACAAATAGAACAATTAAACCAAAAAAAAAATCAACAAAGACATAGCAAAACTGAACCAAATTTGTAGTAAGTGGACTTAGTAGATGTCTACGGAGTGTTCTAACCCAAAACTTCAGAATGCACATTCTTCTCAGCTGCACAAGGGACATTCTCCAAAATAGACCACATAATAGACCATAGAATATGCTTAGGTAAATGCAAAGGAATTGAAATCTCCCACACATATAATCTGCCCATAGTGAAATGAAACTGGAAATCAATGGCAAAAGAAACAATAAAAACTCCATAAACATGAGGAAATTAAGTAACACCCTCCTGAATAACCAATGGGTTACACATGAAATTAAATGAGAAATTAAACAGTATTTACCATTAAATGATAATACTGGTACAACATATCACAACATATGGATGCAATCAATGCTGACCTAAGAGGGAAATTTGTAGAAGTGAATCAGGAAAACAGAACAAACTCAAATAAATAATTTAATGTTAAACCTTAAGCTTTTAGAAAAAGAAAAACAAGTCATGTCCAAAGCTCATACCAAGAGGAAATTATAATGATAAGAGCAGAAGTTAACACAATTGAGACTAAGAAAACAATACAATCAATGAAGAGTTGGTTCTTTGAAAAATTAAATAAAGTTGATGAAACCTTAGCCAACCTTATCAAAAAAGCAAA